AATGATGACATAAATGACTTACTTTTGTGTAATGCTGACATAAATGAATTACTTTTGCGTAATGCTGACATAAATGCAATTACTTATGTGTAATGCTGACATTAATGCATTACTCTTGTGTAATGTTGACATAAATGACTTACTTTTGTGTAATGCTGACATAAATGCATTACTTTTGCGTAATGCTGACATAAATGCAATTACTTATGTGTAATGCTGACATAAATGCATTACTCTTGTGTAATGTTGACATAAATGCATTACTCTTGTCTAAAACTGACATAAAGAATAACTTATGCGTAATGCTGACATAAATGCATTACTTATGTGTATTGCTGCCATTAATGCATTACCCTTGTGTAATGCTGACATGAGTGAATCACGTTTGTGTATTGCTGACATAAATGAATTACTCTTGTGGAATGCTGACATAAATGAATTACTCTTGTGGAATGCTGACATAAATGAATTACTCTTGTGTAATGTTGACATAAATACATAGGCGGGTTCCGGAGGGATGGATATATGTTGATCCTTACCGCAAACATATGTCAAATATTTTTTCTTGCATATTCTGCTATATTGTTTCATATTTAAAATGGTTTACCTGAAATATGATTATATGTTCATGGAAATTAAAGTCATTTCATCCATAACTATTTTCTTACAATAGTGTATGAACTTTTAACTTAAATAATATGTGCGAAATGATTTCATCCTAAGCACATATTTCCCTTCTAAAATAACGTCATTTAAACACGATTCATTCATAAAAGTGCGCTAAAATAATTTTGTATTTGACATGTACCCCTCATGCCAGATGAAATTTCAGGCATGGATAAAACTCACGGAAACGCCAGTCTGCTATATATGCAAGAAATTTTGTTCTTGGTGATAAGGGGGTGATTATTTTATGATAAGTTGACCATTATTGTCGTGGCAAATGTGCATACTATTAAACACCATTGTATACACACTGGTCTCAAATATCGACCTGTGTAGTACGACGCATTACTCACCCCAAATGAGGGTAAAAATGACTCCGACATTAAGAAGTCCGCGTAGGGATGACAATTTTATTTTATAAAACACAATGTATCTTTTCAATTGATTGAAATTGTTTATTTCTTCTAAGGGAACACCATTTTCCAGATTTTAATATTGAAAGTTCGATATTGCAATTGATAGTTTGATTTTGTTACTCTTTATTCAAATATTCAAAACCACTTTCACTTTCGGTTTTAAACTAACAATGGACGAACTACTATGTAAAACCACTAAAGGATTGTCAGAAAGAGCGTTTCATGCATGTTTTGAGTAAATTAATAATGTAATGGCATTTTTGCTAACAGGGTGTGAAAAATGTTTAATTTTTCAAGTGGCCCCATTTTCGTTTTGTTCTATCAGTTCTGTGTTCAAGCCGCCATGTTAAAAGAAGTGCGTTCCCATCATGCTTAGAGTGGTTTCACACAGGTCAGTAAGACGGTGTACACAATGATTAAACAGGTTTAATATTGACTATTTATTACTTCCCTTTAATGAATTTATTACTTCCCTTTAATATGCATGTTGTTTAAAAACCTGTTTTTTTTAAGCTTGAATATCTGACTCGAAATTTAAAGAATTAAAAATAAGTTAAAATAAATAACAAAAAAGATTTTGAATCACTTATAGGTTAGATTTAGATAATGTTTAAAACCGAAAATAATTACAAGAGTTACTGTGTTAATAAATTTTATTTTCTTATTAGTGTTTAACTTCTAAGTTCTAAGATCTAAGATCAATTTATGAATGCGCACTGAAAGAAGTTTCAATAATGCGCCAAGTTGTATAGAAATTTGTCCTACAAAATCTGCTATCAGTTCTTTGCGTAAGTGAACTCAATATGGCTTTTTTCATTGAAAAGCCTCCTGTTACATGTAAAACTTTATTTGTCCATAATGTAAATATTATGGTGGCAAAGTAAACAAAACTGAATATAGCATGGAACAACGTTTTTGTAAAAAATATAAAAGTAATGGCCCTAAAATGTCCTTTAACATATGTAACCTTAGGTTTCCTTGAAAAAAATCAACTATCAGAACTAAAAGAATCCCGCAATAATTTTTTACAAGCATCGCGCTGGCACGATGAGAACAGATGTATGTATGTAGTCTAATTGCTTAATGAGGGTGCATCCGCCCTTTTGGGCAGAAAATGCAGCTTTCGCTGTCAAGTACAGACTTGGACATGTCACCAGTTATGCCCTTAAAGAGTTAATTTTGAAGCACAAAGTGGTGATAATTTACCTCAGAGTATTAGCCAAAGATTTGAATTTGGAGCCAAAAGTAGGTCACTGTTGGGCCGTCAATGAGAACCTAAATGTGCAGTAACCTGTGACAATATGAAAGGGTAGCCCTGAAAAGGGCTGTTGGTGCCAGCGAAAGACCTAGCTGCCATTCAAGCCCTCTAACCGTGCCAAGGGCTCACGCACATTAGCACACCATCTTTGTTGACCCAAGCGCCTACTTTGTAGGGCCACTCCCTCGGCTTTAGTCAAGATACTGGCAGTTGGTCCGCAGGACAAGTTCCGATCTTTTTTCGCCGTTCCCAGTCTTCAAATCTTCTGCCAATGCCCTGTGTCTTCTCAACGACGTACACGTATTGAGGGAATTTTATTTTACACTTAATACTGCACAATAATTTTACTTTATAAATAATGGTGGTGTTGGTAGTTTTCATACTGGATCACGGCAGTTAAAGCCACATTGAATTTAACAGAGCACAGTTCAACCACTAGTGGCGTAGCTACAATTAGGCCATGTAGGCCTGGGCCTACAAGTTGCTCAAGAAATTGACATCTTCAAAAGTCCCAAAAACACAATTAAAACAGGAGGGTGGGGGAAGGTAGTGGGTTTAAGCCATATGGTCATTTCAAGTGTGTTTAAGGCTTATGCATGATTTGCCGTCCTCAGTAAAGTTAACATCTAATCAAATTCATAGTTTAAAATTATTGTTTTGATAATTTTCCTTGAAAATCCTTTGGAACGCGCGTTTTGCTCTTTTTAAACTTAACATGTTTTTGGCTTCTGCAGCTAAGTCCCCTTTTTAAGGGCCTACAAGTTAAAAAAAGCTGGCTACGCCCTAGGTCACCCCATCGTTCCTGGGCAGGCACTCAACTAGTTAGTAGTTACTTATGTAAGGGAAGTAATAAGCACAAAAAATACCAGATGCTAATGGATTATTTCAAGAACTATTACTTCCCTTTAGTATGCATATAAATTAAAAAACTGTTCAGTCACAGCTTGTTTACCTGACTTAAAATTTAAAGAATTTAAAATAAGATGATGTTAACAACAATGAAATTATTGAATGACTTTAAAGTTAGATTTAAATAATGTATAAAACCAATCAGAGTAACAACGTTTAATGTGTTTATATGTTTTAATTGTCTGAGTGAAAGTTGACTTCTAAGTTTTATCAAGCTGCAGTGCTGCAGTTTTAAGAAAGTGGTATTTTACTATTTGCATCTTTGAATGTGCACTGAAAGAAATTTCATTAATGCGCAAAGTTGTTATCAAATATTTAAAAGTATCTGGCAAAATATGCGTAATAATTCAAACAAGTGTTTGATCTTGAAATCCTTTCTACACTCATAATGACCATTTATGAATTCGAAAACCTAGCTAAACACTGTTTTCCGGTACTTTCTGTACACAGCTCTGGGGAATTCACTTCAAGGGCATGTAGTAACTACCTGTATGTTTTTGTTTTGGCTTTTTTTGGAATCAAGTGTAATAAAACAATTGTTTCTTTGTAAGGAAATAATTAAATTTCACTGTATGCAAAAAATTAAGTAAATACACAAGTTTATGCAGAAAATATCTCTATTTCAGATCATGGCAAATGCAACGACTTTTTTAATTTTTACAGATTTTTATGATAGATAATTTTTTTTGTTAGATAGTGCAGGAACATTGATAATTTTCAAACCATTCAAGTTTTTCCACCATAAACGATAAAATAATGATAAAAAATGGAAATATCACATAATAGTGTTTAATGTACTTCATTGTACTTCATTATGTCCAATTCCCCAGAGCTAAATCCGTAATATACTGGAAAATGGGGTTTAGCTAGATTTTTCGAAAAGGTCAATACTTCTGCCCATAGAAGTTTCAATTCCTTGGGTGAATGTGAACTGGTAAACTGCTTGACAGCTTGCCCGGCTGAAATGTGCTATGGTGGATTCAGTGTAGTTTAATGCTAAGATGTGGTGGGTAAATACCACCAAGGGCTTTTTTTCACAGGTTGGGGAAGCAACCTTGCCCTTAACTTTGGGGAAAAAATACACAGTATATATTTGCAAAACGGGAAGAAAAATCTTGATGTTAATATAGTTAGAAAACTGCATGATTTTAAAGAATTTTTACTTTTGGGAAATCAGCCCTATAGCGGCCCCTGCTATGGAAGGAAAAAAATCCCTGCCACCACCTGTTGTTGACAACTAAGTTTTGTAAATCTACAGAGCTGCATTTGTCAGAAATTTAAAACCGTCTTTTGTATACGCACAGAAAGAAATTTCAAACCTGATTAAAGTTTTTGTGTATGTTATTAGGTAGGTGTCACTTGTGAATGGTTAAGGTCGTTGACTTCAAACCACTTGCTCCTCACCGCTGTGGGTTCGAATCTCGACAGGGACTTTGGATTATTTCATGTGAGGAAGCTATCCAGGTAGCTTACAGAACGTCAGTGATTCTACACGGGTGCCCGTCCATGCCTGAAATAATTCACGGAAGGGCACCTGAGGTCTTCCTCCACCAGTAAAGTAGGAACGTCGCGATATGACCTATAATGTGTAGATGTGACGTAAAACCCAAAACAAACAAACAAACAAAACTTGGTTAAAGTCAAATATAACAGTAACTTGCACAATGATAGCAGACAACAATTTTCAAAGTGTGCAAAGGGTTATACAGGTAAATATTGAAATAACTAGAGTTACTGTTAGACATCAGCTTTATGTGAATGCTTACTTTTGTATATTTTCAGGGCATTTCTAGACAAGTCTGTTGACAAGGCGACAAAAATAAAACTGCTACAAAAGGCATGTGAAGTACATGTCAGGATGTATAAAGATGCTATGAATGGGAAGGGTATTGACAGACATTTGTTTGCACTTTATGTCGTAAGCAAAGGTCTTGATTATGTAAGTAGAATGTTTAAGTCTTTATGTAGATCTTGGTAATGATGCATATTAAAATACAGCATATACCTTTTTTCAAAAAAAAGGGTGGTAACATTAATAAACAATAATGTTTTTCCCTGTAGCTGCCCCCAGAAAAAAAGGTGTTAATACACATTAATATATATCTGTAACTGCCACCCGAAAAAAAGTTGGTGATAAACATTGATATAAATCTGTAGCTACCACCTAAATAAAGGGTTGTGATAAACGTAAATATATAAACATAGTTTCCACTGGCAAAAAAGGGTGTTCAGAGATGCACGTTTGCAACATCGCTTTTCATTGGATAATCATGATGTTTATACAATTTTATAAACATGACTTAATGTCAATTAATGAAGGAATCTCATTTTTTTCTCAAAAATATAATACTTGCTGTAAAAATAACCTGTTACAATATGTTTACCTGTTTTTTGCATTTGTAAAATCTTAAAAATGTTAATGTTTGTATTTAGTTAACCACTGGAACCTTTTCTAAAAACAGATGGTTAAATTAAGCAACGGGCTTAGTGACATAGTTTGTTTAAGTCAGTGTTTCCCAGAGTCAAGGTCATTGTCACCTTCTATTGACCCGTCAATTTCAACACGAGGAAATGGTTAATCATAACGGTTGAAGGTGGAGATAAGAATACAAATATTGTTGACGTACATATAAAGTTTAACAGACCATTGTCGATCAATGATAATTTCAAGATTGATCTGAACTTTCTGATTTCATTGTTTTCTTACAGGACTGTCATTTTCTGAAGAAATGTTTGAGCATTCCATGGACACTATCAACTAGTCAACAGCCTCAACAACAACTGGTCTCTTCTCCAAGTTGTGATATACCTGAGTACAGGGATAAGGTAGGTGATATTTTATCCAAGTTGTGATATACCTGAGTACAGGGATAAGGTAGGTGATATTTTATCCAAGTTGTGATATACCTGAGTACAGGGATACGGTAGGTGATATTTTCAGCAAATTGTGATTATCTGAATACAACCATGGTGTTTAGATATTCTTGAGTACAGGCTTAAGGTAGGTGATATTTTCTCCAAATTGTGATATACCTGAGTAGTGTGTTAAAGTAGGTGATATTTTCTCCAAGTTATGATATACCTGAGTACAGGGTTACGGTAGGTGATATTTTCTCCAAGTTATGATATACCTGAGTACATGGTTACGGTAGGTGATATTTTATCCATGTTGTGATATACTTAAGTACAGGATGCAGGATGGTGGAATATTTATCAAGTTAAGATAAATAGAAGTACAGGATAAATGTAGTTCATATCTCCTCAAAGTTAAGACATACCTGAGTGCAGGGATAGTAAATTACTTGGTATTGTTTTCAGGAGTTATATCATAGAAATCAGTGTTTTAAGAAACATGTATACCATCATTCCAATTTATTCGCAGTACTTCCTTTGTAGCATATCTTTGTATATAATAGAAAATCCTATGTACCTTGCCACTATTTATTTTTGTTAGAGACCAGAGATCAAACCTAAGCCGAAAAAGGGGAGCGGTGTCCTAGTGGTTAAGGTGTCTGCCTCTCAACCAGTGGATCATGGGTTCGAGCCCAAATCAGGTCACAACCATGTTTCTTCATATGACACCAGTACTGGTTGGTCCTAGGATTAGCGGACTTGAAAGTGATTAATATAAGTTGCAGGAACTTGTTTCGCTATTGAGCTTAAATAAATATGTTTAAACCAACCTAATTCTAAGAAGAATTAACATTACAAAAAAACAAAAACTTTTATTGTCTTTCTTGATTGTAGGTAAGCCCAGGTGGTGGATTTGGTCCGGTATCCGACGACGGATATGGTGTATCGTACATGATTCCCGGAGACTTCAAATTCTTCTTTCACGTCTCGTCGAAGAAGTCAACGAAATGCACAGACTCCACGTCGTTCATGAATCAGCTCTTTGAAACCCTCGACGAGATGAAGGAACTCTTCGAAAGCAATGCAAATTAATGGCGACATTTTATATCCTGTCTCATGCAGCACAACTGAAGTTTTATTTCATTTTTTTTTTTTTTTTTTGGGTTCGATCCCCGGGAGATGCTTTGGTAGTTTAGCGCGGAGGAAGGTAGTCTAGTACTGGTGTAACTCTCCAGGAACGATGGTTAGGAAACTACCCGCCTATATGACTGAAATACTGTTGAAAAAGGCGTAAAATGAAACAAACAAACAAACAAACATTTCATTTTTTTCATGACAAATTTGGAAAGTTTTTTTTGTTTTTTTTTTGTGAGTAAATATGTTGTCAAGTGTAAACAATTTTACGAGACTTGACCTAGTTTAACCGATAATATGTTGGAATTGAAAGTGATTAACCTTTAACACCAGTATGTAGAGTGAAATATAAGGATATATTTTATTGATCAAAACTTCAGGCATAATTATCTGGTCAGGTTTAGGTCAAACTTTTACTATAACATCCTAACATGATAAGTCCTAATTCAAGTGTGTTCATTTTTAACTAATTTGGCCCTCCATTTTTGGTTATGTAATTGTAGTTGTTATTTTATGTAGTTTTGTAAATGTGTTTGTTTTTAAGTTTTGAAAGTCAATCTGTAAGGTGACTTAAATGTTCTTTTAGAATATTTTTATTTTATTTTTATTTTTTTTAAGTTCTGTTAAGAATTTTTGTAAGCAGTGAAATAACGGACTTTCTGTGATATGTAGGACAATAAATTAGGACACAAAACAGCATGATATATAGGACAATAAGCTAGGACACAAAATGGCATGATATATAGGACAATAAGCTAGGACACAAAATAGCATGATATATACGACAATAAGCTAGGACACAAAATGGCATGATATATAGGACAATAAGCTAGGACACAAAACAGCATGATATATAGGACAATAAGATAAGACACAAACAGCATGATATATAAGACAATAAGCTAGGACAAGAAAAAACATGATTTACAGAACTTAAGACAAATAGCAGCTTTATATAAGACAATAAAAAAGATGATATAATATTTTAGGACAGTATATTAAATTAATAAAGATCATGTTTTATATAGGGCAATAAATTAGGACAAGAAAAAGACATGATATACAGAACTTAAGACAATAAACAGCTTGATATATAAGACAATAAATAGGATGATATAATATTTTAGGACAATAAACAGCATGATTTAAAGGACAATAAATTAGGACGATAAACAGCATGATTTAAAGGAAAATAAATTAGGACAATAAACAGCATGATTTAAAGGACAATAAATAAGGACAATAAACAGCATGATATATAGGACAATAAATTAGGACAATAAACAGCATGATTTAAAGGACAAAAAATTAGGACAATAAACAGCATGATTTAAAGGACAATAAATTAGGACAATAAACAGCATGATATATAGAACAATAAATTAGACAATAAACAGCATGATGACAATGAGTTAGGACAATAAAGAACATGATATATAGGATGATGAATTAGGAGAATAATTTGGGGTTTTTCTGTTATGGTTTTGTATTGAACTAAGTAAGAGATTAATGAAAAAGATTAAGGGTGTATTAACACAATGTGTTCATATTTTTTTCATTTGAAAGAAGCTGGCAAATTACATTATTTTTCATCTCTAGTCTGTACTCATAACCAAAGATGTTCAGGCATTTTAAGGGCTTAATGCAGTTCTGTATTTGTTATATCCAATAGCCTCATGGTAGCAACTAAATATACTTGAGACTGGGGATGTCACGGTTAGAAATAAATGATATTTGTTTAATGATATATAGAATCAATTAAAAACCTTTTTTCCTCTTTGTCAAAAACTAATGTTGGTTGCCGGTTAATGAATTTTCTAACCAGTTTTCAGCTAAAAACCCACTGTACCCATTTAAAGAGATAACGTTACTTGAGACCAGTCCACTCTGCACATCCATGCCATCTGATCATGGTCTGCACTGTTTGCTATTCACTCGGTACATATTTTGAAATTTTCCCCTAAAAATGATGAATGGTTGTGCCCAAGTTGAAAGATGGACAAGTCCATTTAAGGTATTTAGGGTGGTTAGGGTTAAACAACAATGATTTTTAGCTCGACTTTTCTATGAAAAGGGGAGCTATCCTACTCGCCCCGGCGTCGGCGTCGGCGTTGGCGTCACACCTTGGTTAAGTTTTTCGTACCACCCCACTTTATTTCAGAAGTATTACAAGTATGGCTTTGAAACTTACCATACTTGTTCACCATCATAACCTCCATCTACAGACAAGAGTACATAACTCTGTCAAGGTTTTTGACAGAATTATGGCCCTTTTTTGACTTAGAAAGTGTATTGAGCTTGGTTAAGTTTTTTGTACCACCTCACTTTATTTCAAAACCATTGGAGGTATTGCTTTCAAACTGACCATACTTGTTTACCATCACGACCTTCATCAACAGACAAGAGGACATAACTCTGTCAAGGTTTTTGACAGAATTATGCCCCTTTTTGACTTAGAAAATACATTGAATATGGGTAAAATCCACTTATTGCCTTAACCCTTTGAGATATTGCTTTGAAACCTTTAATGCTATTTCACATCATTACCCCCATCTGTACGCAAGAGAAGGTAACTCTGTCAAGGATTTGTTTTAAAAATTAAGGCCTTTTATCGACTTAGAATCTTGGTTAAGTTTTTAGTACCAGTCCACTTTTTGACTGAACTTGTTTGAGATATTAATTTGAAAGTTGGAATACTTGTTTACAATCATGATTCCCAAACATTCCAGGAGAAGGTAATTCTGTCAAAGATTTTATTTGAATTATGGCCCTTAACTGTCAATGTTTTGTATTATAGGCAAGCACTAAAAAACTTAAAAAATCTAAAAAAATTCATTCCTATCCACTTGTTCACTTTACCATAAATTATGTCATATAAACATTGCTGTAATATTCAAGGGTATCAAACAACTAGTTATTTTACCAGTAAATCATATAACTTATATTCAGTTTCGTGATGCTACACTGTTGCTTACATACAGAAATTAGGAGCATTCGAAGATAGTGAGAATGAATGTGTTCAACGAGATTGCCCCAATTGGTAAAAATATACTCAATGTCACGATTTCATGAACATTTAGCATGACATTAAATAATGAATTGAACTTCCTTCATGTAATTCAAATATCAGTTTACAACGCATTATCTACATAGTGGACCCACGAAAAGTAACCAGTCACCCACAGCCTGTGTGAAAGAGATCCACTTGTGACCAACTGACAACATCTAAAAAAGCTTGATAAAATTTATCTATTACTTGTATTATAAGGTAACTATAATACTTTCACATACAAAGTCAAATCTATATATTATGCTGATTGTACAAAAATATACTGCTTCCTTGGCATAGATTTCTTGAAAAATTATGTTATTATGTCATTACCAAAGGTGTTCTGAGTGACGTAAAAAATACCTTATTCTCTCAAAGTGGGTTTAATACTATTAAATTTATTTAAGGCTCAACTCAGTTTTTTTTTCTTTCTTACCAGCCCTCTTTTGACTTAAACATTTCAAACTTTGCTGCAGTGTTCAAGGGTATCACACAATTCAGTAAAATAATTCTTCACTAAATATCTTAATGCTCATGGCCATTGTTCACTTTAAAAATACAGAGATTCTTGTATTGCCTTTTACTGCAAAAACTTTTTTTATTGGCAAGCAATAAAAAAGTCGAGCGCGCTGTCTTACAGACAGCTCTTGTTTAAATTATCAGTCTCATCTTTTGTCACTAGTCATTGTTTTTGATGATATATATAAGCATTACATATGTTATCATGTATTTCACTTTCCTAACTTGAAAAGACACAGTGTAATTTGTCCTTTGTATAGACTATAGACTAGAGAGATTTATTTATATGGCTTTTTCATGACAGTTTTTTTTTCTCCATTTTTTTTGAAAATCAATATCAACAAATTATAGTTCATTGGAAAAGATTTTTTACATTGAATTTCAGTTGTTTTAAAGTCAGCACAGGTATGTGATAAACATATATTTATTGAATTTAAAAAAAAACCCTAACACACCTGTAACAATTCAGAACATAGAAAGATTCTGGAAGATGCATTTCCTCCTAATCTTCCCTAAAACCGAGCCTACACATAGCGTTAGACCAAGATACACTCCTGCTATTTTATTGTGACAGTTGTTTAGATTTATTTTTAGCGTGTTTGACACAAAACTTAACATTTTTAGACGTGATTTAGTTTTAGTCTGTACATGATTTTGTTTTTAGTATGTTAATTTTTAGATATGATTAAATTTAGATTTTATTTGCAATTGAAAGGGCCATCTTAACTTTCCTGTTTTATAAAGATGTGGAATTTTAAGTTTGTTATTATTTTTTTTATTTTACTGACATGATGTTTTAGATACTCCACCTTATCATTGATACTCATGCATGTTTGTTGTTTTAAACATTTTTGTTGTAATTGTATTTTTTTTTGTATTTTTAGATTTTTATTTCTTGCTTAAAGGCACATTATGCCTGAGAAATTTAAATTTTCATATTTTTTAGGAAATATCAAACACGTGTTTAAGAATGTTTTAATAATGCATTCAGAGCATGTTAAATGTTTAACAATTGATGAAAATAGCACATAACATGCAGTAATGTGTTATAAAGATACGAAATGTAAACAAAATAGTATTTTGACTTTTATACAAAAATACTAATTTACTGTAAATATGCCAATTACAATGTACCAACAGAGCAGTGGTTAAGGTCGTTGACTTCAAACCACTTGCCCCTTACCACTGTGGGTTCAATCCCCAAACGGGGGACTTTTGAATTTTTTTATGGAGGAAGCTATCCAGCCTGGGTTTACGGAACATCGGGTTACTCGGTACCCTTTTGTCCTGAAAAAATACACAAAGGGCATTTTAGGTCTTCCCCACCAGAAAGCGGGAACGTTGCCGAAATGACCTATACTGGTGTCGGTGGACGTAAAACACAAAAATCAAACAAAACCAACAGAGCAAAAGATGCAAAATATAGGTTATCTATGCTGCAAAT